TGAAAGGATCACTTCATGACTCCTCCGTTACAGTTTTGGAGGTTGAGCTTATGGCATTGAAGCGAGGACTAACCGAAGCTGTAACTTTGGGGATTACTCATATCTCAATCTGCTGCGATCATCATCAAATTTTTGAACTGGTAAGTAATTCAGCAAAAAAAAAAAAACATTTTTGAGGAAAACCCTAAATACAAAAATAGCTTTTGTTTCAAATCTAGCACATGAAAATTTAGTAATTCCGAAACTAACATCATTTGTTTTGTAAAAACACTTGCTAATCATAAATAAATTACATATAGCATCAAAACATTATGTTCAGGTCTGATCTAGAGTTTAGTTTTTTTTTTCTATTAATTTTATTTTTGGAGTTGTGTTGAAGTTGAATTTGTGCTATTATTGGAAAACAAAAACTTCTGGGGCTATATTTGGAACAAAAACTTAAAAATGTGCCAAGTTTTTTCCCTTTAGTAAGATTAATTAACACGTCCCTAAACTTTTGCTTCAGATGAATTGTCTCGTAAATTGATGTTTTGCGGCTTTAATGTTGTTTAGGTCTTGGGAAGATCCGTGCCTGAGAAAGATAGCATTGCCTTGCTAATGGAAGATGTGGAACGCATCAGACAACAACTGACATCTACCACACCTGTTCTTGTGACTGGAAATCAAACCAAGAGTGCTTACAAGCTCGCAATGGAAACACTAGTTTCTGAAATCAGCATATGTATGCCTCCTCATGCTTCTGATGATCAGAAGACGAAGAAGAAGGATTCTTGCAGATTTTGTTTCGAAGATGGTTTTGAAGCCGAGCAGATGTTTTATGTCGCTGTATGCCGTCATCAATTCTGCGTGGAGTGCATGAAACATTACGTAGAGAACAGTCTACTCAGAGGCTGTTTTCAGATGAAATGCCCTAAACACGATTGCAGCTCTGAGTTGACTATTAAAAGCTGTGCCAATCTTTTGTCACCTAAGTTAAGAGACATTTGGGAAAAAAAGATCAAAAAGGGCTCGATGGATGATCCGTGGCATGAATGTAAAAAGTGCCAACACATGAATGAAAATTCAAGTGGAAACTTGCAAGTAACTTGCAGGTATCACACTACAAGAAACATATTTTTTAGTGTCATTTTTTTTTTTAAGTTTAATATCATTTTTAAAGTGATACAAGAATTATTGTATCATTTCAGAAAATGATACTAAAATCAATGATACTAAGTTTTTTTAGTATCACTTTTACAAATGACACTAAAATTAAATCTTAGTATCATTTATTTACAAGTGATACTAAAATGACATTTAGTATCACTTAAAAAAAATGATACTAAAATGACATTTAGTATCACTTAAAAAAATGATCCTAAAACTGAGATTAGAATCACTTGTTCAAGTGATACTAAAATGTCATTTTAGTATATTTTTTTAAGTGATACTAAAATTGAGATTAGTATCATTTTTTTAATTGATACTAAATGTGTATTTGTATCACTTGTAAATAAATGATACTAAAATTAAGATTATAATTAAAATATATATATATATATATTCAAGCTAAAATATCCTTATATAGTAATCAAACTAAAATTTACTTGTAGTAAAATGTATACAACCTCAAATTTAATTATAGTAAAATGTATAAATGTGTATTCTCTTCTTCCTTGTATACCTGCCAAAATAAAGAGCAAGTTGCATCATAAACATCAAACCATCAAACCATCAAACCATCAATCCAATATCGTGAAATTTAGTTCAAACCTCAAACATCAAGAAAGAACAACATTAAACAACAATATCGTGATATTCAGAGCAATTCATACCAATACAAAGATCATTAAACAACAACAATACCAATTCAGAACAACATTGCAACTAAAAGTTATGACATCAAGATATGATCAGAATGTGACAATGCAAAGATCATTAAACAACAAGCAACATTTTTTCAGGTCCAAGTGACAAAGTTTTGGTCCAAGTAACATACCAATACTACACGTATCAAGAAGCTAAGACTACCAACTTGATTCATACCAAGAACAAGAGCTAAATAAGGCAACACAGAACAAGAGCAAGAGCTATACGATAATTACCTTATAATCCTGTCATCTTCACGTTCTATGCCCTGAAAACATTAAAACAGAACAAGAACTAAATAAGGCAACACAGAACAAGAATATATGCAACACAGAATATGCAACTTACCTTCTACAGTTGCAATCCGAGCTGAGAAGACTATTAAGCACCTCATTCATCTTCTCATATTTGTCCTCTAAATCATTCATTTTGTCCAATTTTTTTTGTAGATCACGAACTGTATTTCTCAAGCTTACCACTTCTGTTTCATAGGAGATGCGATTCTTGAAGAAAGATGAAGGAGTAGGACCAAGCCCAACACAACAAACACGACCTGGATGTTCGGGGCCAAAAACTTGAGAGAATTCATCATCTTTACTTGAACCATCTTCTATAGTGTGAACCATCTTCTCTGTTAATTTTTCCTGAAACGTGAATTCCTCAACATTGTCAACTAAACTCACAAAGATGTATAAGAGATGAAGCAACCAAAAAGAATCTGACCGATAAATCACGAGCTTCTTCATTAACATATCCTCCATTAGCTTTTTGGCGTGAGCTCACATAGATTTCTGCACGACTTGGACGTTTCCCCGTCTTAAGAAACTGGACATTATACCCCAAAAAAAAATCAGTTTTACACACTTAACTTACACAAGTGATTCTAATCACGCTTATGTTGACATTCTCTATTACTGGAACTTTGAATTTCAGTTTAGACAACAGACAGAAACTTACAATTTCTTTCGACTTTCGAGAAATGCTTTTCTTCCCTAAAGTATGAGGTGTCTTGTAATGGCTCCTGCTTATCTTGTTTTGTTCTCTCAAATTCTAAAACTCACGTATGTAAAAATGTTAGCAACTAAACAGAACATAACAAAAATTTGAGATGGTGACTTGTGAAAGCAAAGATATGTTTTGTATTACCTTAGTTCTCTCACTAAACTGCATATAAACAAAGTCTTGCCACTGTTCTTTTGGAACAAAGTCAGGGCGGAGCTGTAAAGTTTCTTCAGGATTGTTCCTTCCCAAATGTTCCCATAGACGAGTTTTTAAACTTTTGCACTTCATACTCAAGCTCTTCATCACAAAGTCTTTATAGTTTTTGTTTGAACTATCAAAACAAAACTTAGTCTGCATTTACAACCATTTAAGACCATAATCAACCAGTTAAGGATATAAAGACTGTGACCATAATCAACTATCTAAAACCATAATCAATTGCTCATTAAGAAATGTACCTGAATGTAGTCCCAAGCATCATCCTTTCGCCATTGTTGTACATTCCTCCAATCATCATAATTTATGGGAAACTTGGTCAGATCCGTACTCAACATGCCAAGCCATGTAGCAAATATACCACCACTTCCTCCATCAGGTTGATCATGTGGACCAAACTCTAGAATGATTCTTCGTTTTTCCATTCCCCATACATCTTTTGCAGTGAGACGTTCCTCTGTTACATTTGAATCTGAATCTGCAACATTAAAACATCCACTTTTACTTACCTATCAACAACAACCTAGTAAAGTAGTCATACATTCTCAAGAGAAGTAAACTTTTACTTACCTATAACATTTACCACCCACTTTCCACGCTCTCGTCCTTGTGTATATATCTGATTTTGATTCACATCTTGTGTTTCCTCGACATGAGAATCAATGCCATCCATCTGCAAACAATACAAGTCAAACAAAACAAGAGATAGCAAAACCTGAGATCTCGTATTAATGAGTCAAACAATTCAAGAGAGAATTCAACAATACAAGTCAAACAATACAAGAGATAGCAAAACCTGAGATTTCTTATTAATGAGTCAAACAATACAAGAGAGAATTCAAGAACAAATACAAGTCATAAGCTAAAACATGAGAATTCAAGAACAAACAAACAAAACAAGTCACATTTCATCAACTAATTCTTCTTCAGGTGACAAACCACAATCTCCCATATCGTATAAATCTCTAGGTTGAACATGAACTCCTACATTCCAGCCATACTCACTTGGATCTTCAACATAGTATACCATTCTTGCTTGAGAGGCTAATATGAATGGTTCATCTTCCTCACTTTCACCACTATGTATAATACGTGAAAAATTCACCAAATTATTACCAAGACCATCTCTTCTGTATCCACGACTATCACGTGTATCTGCCCATGTGCACTTGAACAAACACTACTCTGAACTTGTCGTAATAATTAAGTTGAATAATATCCACCAACTTACCATAGTAGGGAACATTACCAGCCATTGGATTGTTATCACGAGAAGAAGCATAGCTCATGGTCTCGGCAGAAACATAAACTCCACAATTCTGAGTTTTCAAATCAGAATCCCTTTCTAGAGTTCTATACTTATATCCATTCACGCAATATGATGAAAACTTCAACACTTTGTCACTTGGACCTTTAGCAAGTAATCGGATATCCTCACTAATACCATCAGTCTCATCCTTTTCTACTTTCTCTCTAAGCCACTTGTCAAACCTAAGATGAACTTCTCTATCTACATCTAATGTATAGCGTCTTCTCCTACCACGAGTATGAGTTCTTCTTAACTCATCTTTATACTTCCTAAAATGTGAAGAAAAAACTAGTTTAGTATACTCAAAAACTAGTTTAGTATACTCAACTAATCAAGATGTAATGGAGAAATACTTACTGTCGCAATTCATCAAGAAATGGGCAGCTGATCAAGATATAGCGATGAGCTTGTTGTTTCTCCATGAGACTTAGTGTTGCATATTGACTAGCACCATTACATTCTCCCTAGGGATGGAAAGACTATCGGAATTTTTGAGCCTTCTCTGAGATTATGTGAAGACATTGGAAGATCATTTACTCTTCCAATTTGGTTGAAGCGTGTCTCTATCCCATCAAGATACATTGAGCAAAATGTCAGACACTCATCAGCCATATATTGTTGACATATTGATCCTTCAGGTTGTGCATGATTTATGACATATGATTTGAATTTTCCTAGGATCCTACAAAAGAAACAAAATTAAGCAAGATGAAGACTCAAAGTAAGCTCAGATAAAGACTCAAAGTAAGTAAACTCTGATTAAGAACATACCTTTCCACTGGATACATCCAACGAAACTGGACAGGACCACCAAGCTTTATTTCTTCAGTCAAATGAATGGTCAGATGTATCATCACCGTGAAGAAAGAAGGAGGAAACAGCATCTCCATGTGACATAATATAATCACAATTTGCTTTTGGAGATTAACTAGCTCATTTACATCCACCACCTTGGAGCATATCTCTCGGAAAAACTGACAAAATTCTGTTATGACAGAAGTCACATTTGGTGATGACACATTACGAATAGCAATGGGTAACAAGTGACCCATAATCACGTGACAATCATGACTTTTTAGTCCCTGCATTCTACGCTGCCTTAGATCAATACACCTTGAGATATTAGATGAAAAACCATCTGGGAGCCTTGCGCCTTTTAAGATACCAAGAAATGTATCTTTCTCACTAGTTGTTAGCTTGAAAGATGCAGGAAGATACTTCTCGTTGCTATCTGGCCATAATTCAGAACGTATACCCATCTCCTGAAGATCTTTTCTTGCCTTAAGATTGTCTTTCGACTTTTCTTTGTCATCTAATAATGTGATACAACATTATCAAAGACGTTTTTCTCTATATGCATAACATCTAAGTTATGTCTTAATAGAGCATGTTCCCAATATGGCAGTTCAAAGAATATACTCTTCTTTCTCCATTGTTGTCCCCTTACTCTTCTACTAATCTCTGAGCTTTTTCCAAAAACAACATCAAACTTTCTTGTTGTTGCAGAACTATGGAGCCTGTTGGTGTAACTGGAGGATTTCTAAAGTCTTCTTTTCCATCAAAATTTTGCTTATCAAACCGATATATGTGATCTTCCTCAAGAAAGCGCCTATGACCCATGAAACAATACTTTTGTCCATGTTGTAAACGCAATTCAGCTGCATCGTAGTTACAAGAAGGACATGCTAAACCCGTGTGAATATTCCAGCCTGACAAATTTCCTAATCCGGAAATCACTCAAAGTCCACATCAAAGCTGCACGCAAACAGAACATCTCCTTTGTTGAAGCATCAAATGCTTGAACACCATCATCCCATAACTCTTTCAGTTCTTTGATCAAAGGCTGCAAGTAAACGTCAATATCATTCCCAGGCATTTGTTTTCCTGGAATAATCATTGACAATATTGTTGAAGACTGCTTCATTGCTATCCATGGAGGGAGATTGTATGGAAACAAAAGAACTGGCCATATACTATAACTTGTACTCATAGCCCCAAAAGGATTGAATCCATCAGTAGCTAACCCAAGCCTTACATTTCTGGAATCTGATGCAAAAGTATGAAACTTTTGATCAAATGTTTTCCATGCTTCCCCATCTCTAGGATGTCTTAGCTTTCCATCTTTGTTTTCTCCAACTGCATGCCACTTCATACTTTCTGCACTCTTGGATGACATATACAATCTTTGAAGTCGTGGCTTTAGTGGAAAGTAACGCAAGACCTTAGCAGCTTGTCTTTTCTTCTTTCTTTTCTTTCCCGACACTTCCTCGTTCTCTCCTTCTGCTTCTGTGCTTTTACCTTTCCATCTTGATATGTTACAAATCTTGCACACTTCTCGCTCTGAATCTTCTCCCCAAAACAGCATACAATCATTTGGACAAGCATGAATACGCTCATAATCTAGTCCAAGTTTATGAATGGTCTTCTTTAAATCATGAAGTGAAGCAGGCAGCTTGGCATGTTGAAACGCTTCCCTTAGTAGATCAATTATCATTGATAAACCCTTATCACTAATCTTGGTTATACTCTTGATGTGATATAGCTTCAGCATAAAAGATAACTTTGAGAATGAAGTGCATCCCTCGTAAAGTTCTTCATTAGCCTCTGCTAGTAATGCTTCAAACGCTCCTCTTTCATCAGAATGACTTGACTGACCTGCAGCTTCTTCTTCGTTCGATGGCTGATTAGAAGAACCAGCTCTCATCAACATTCAGGCACAATTTGGGAAGACATCATCTAGTAGATTCATTGTAGTATCTTCATTCAACCTACTATCAACTTGAAATTCTACGGATGTAGAATTCCTATTAACTGTTCACCGTGAAAGTGCCAGTTTTTATAACTAGGCAGAAACCCATAATACATCAAATCTCCTCTAATATCCTCTCTGTATCTGTTCTTAACTAAAGAACATCGACAACAAGGACATTTTAGCATTGTAGCATCAGTGTTCGAAAAAGCAAATTCTAAGAATCCTTCAACCCCATTGATATACTCTTGAGACAAACGAGGTTTGTTAATCCAAGATTTATCCATAGAAACTGCAAAGAAATAATCACAATTCAATACTATCCCTATCAGATTAAAACAATGACAACAATCGCAACTCAATACTATCCTATCAGATTAAAACAATGATAACAATCACAACTCACATGTACAGAACAGAGGCAGCAATCACAAAGCAATCAAAAATCATGTACAGAACAAAGGCAGCAATCATCCAAAGGCATCAATCTACTCAGTAAACTCAAAATGGCCATTCATGGAGAAATGTCAGAATTGCATTTTAAACACAATACTCAAAATTCAAAGTACAGCAATCTACAGAACAAAGGCAGAAATCATCCAATGTACATAAATCATTATTTTGATCTCAAACTCAGTAGCAATCATCCAAAGGCAGAAATCATCTATATACACAATGATGATTCAACGAGAATGGGATCTCAAATTCAATAGAGCAACGAGAATGAGAAACATATATGTTTAAGAGAAGCGTGATTGTCAAAACAATCGATCAAGTGACGGCAACACCAACATAAGCGTGATTGTCAAAATTTCTCGTCTAGAACCTAAAAACCCAGAAAAACTCAATATACACCGGAAACCAAATCGAGCAAACCCAGAAATTCGTCGACTCTGATTCAACAATAACTAAAAGGAAGAGAAATTTGAACAAATAGAACACGAAATAGAGATCGATTCCACAATTCGAGACCAAAAGCACAAGCAAAATCACTAAGTATGCAAATTAGACCAAAATCTCAAAATAAGTTCAGCCATACCTAATTAATGAGTTCTGGGATCAGCGATGGTGATGATGGAAAGGTTCTAAGCGATCGGTGACCTCGGTGATGGTGATTTGATCGGAGATCCAGAGCTTCGCCGAGATCGAGCTGATCGCGAAGCTTCGCGATAAGAGAGGAGAAGTTTTTTTCTTTTCTGATTTTTTTTTCTTTTACTGTTTCAACGGCATTTTGTTTTTTTTTTAAATTCAAACCATCTTTAATCATTTTTAAAAATAGGATTATTTTGGTCATTTACCTATAAGTGATACAAAAAACTGTTTATTACTATCATTTACCTAGAAGTGATACTAAAAATTGTTTCTTTGTGTCATTTTTAGTTTAATGATATTAAAAACTAATTATTAGTGTCATTTGTAAGTAAAATGATACAAATATCTTTGTTTTAGTGTCATTTTTAACAAATGATACTTTCTAATTTGATTAATTTTTAAGTTAATATCATTTTTAACAAATGATACAAGATAAACGACACTAAAAAACACTTTTCTTGTAGTGTCATCTCTGACTAATCACATTCTCTAAGCTATTATAATCCTAACTTGATTATGTTTATTGATTGCTATGGTCGATGGATGTATATAGCTGTGGATATTCGTCTTGCTACAAATGTGGAGGCGAATGGAAGCATGGTTGCCGTCATCAGGAAGAAGACAGAAATTGCAAGAACTGCTGTTGGGCTTTTTTCTTACTTTTGTGCTTTTCGTTTATAATAGCTATGTTGTGGAAAGCATACAAAATAATATAGTAGCGGTGTGCTCAATTAGGTTGCGGTTTATTTCATTCGATAATATTGTACCAAATAGTTTTTGGATCAAGTTTTTCAGGTCATCTTTAGCTTGGCCAAAATAACATAAATCAAATTTTACCTTTAAAATTTGTTCTTTAGTTTTTTATTCATTACTGTTCATTAGAATTTTAAAATTTTGCATGTGTGCATTACTAACGAGAGAACGGCCATTTTCTATCTTAACAATGAGCCACGGTCTACGCATATATAATAATATCTAGCTTGGTAGAAAATGTTCCATAAATAACCGTTGTAATGTGCATGTGTAATTTATTCCATAAAAAGTCTTTCAAGTCTCTCAACATCTCCTCTTGCTTCTCTCTCAGTCTATAATGTGCATGTGTAATTTATCTTCCAATATAATTTTACCTAGTAAAGAGAAAATCATGTCATTTTACCTTATTTTATTATAAGAATTTAAATGTATATAAACCTTATAAAAAAACAAAAAATATTTGTATGCAAGAGAAAAGGTGAAATGGAGATACGGAGGTGGATTGGGATGAGCTGTCCCCACCTGCAAAAACACGCACGCTTCACTGTCTTAAAAAGATGCTTATCTGTTTTCTCAATTTGACAAATCCCTTTAACACTTATATTATACTCAAAAACATAAAAGTTTAGGCTTTGAATGGGAGCTGCGTTTCTTGCAAAAGCGGTGCGGTTTTAGTGATGTTATAGTGGGGTCCACTTAATTGTCACCAATCAACAAGTTTTTGTATCTGCGGTGCGTTTTATGTAATTAAATTATTAAACAAATCAAAGTTCATTTGCGGATCATTTTTGTGAAGGAAAACTACAATCCGCTCCGCCACAGTAGTACACATGGTTTTGGGTGTGTTTTGTACTTTTGTATGTGCGTTTTTATAGTATATTATATTTTAATAATGATAAAATTTTGAAACAAAATAATATAAATTGAGTATGTATGATATAAATTTAACTAGATTTTAAAATTATAAAAGAAAATTATATAAATTATTTATTTCTTCGTTAATTGTATTAACAAAATTAATTTATGTCTTTCACCAATCAAACATTATTTTGTATCGCTATTATATTATAACCGCAGTTGTTCCGCAAGTTATATTGTTCCGCAGTTAAACCGTACCGCTTTTTCAATTTCATTTTTCCCATACCGCTTAATATGTTGTCACCATTCAGAACCTTAATGTGTACCTCTCTCTCCCCGAATCTACTTTGCTACTTCTGTGTCCCACTACTTCCGTAGTTTTTTTATACATAATGTATGTAATTACTAATTAGTGGCTGATATAGAATAATATTTAACCAGGTTCAAACAAATTTAACGATGTAACATTGATTGAAACATCTTCCACTAAAGGCATCCATGAAAATCCAGAACAAAATTCCCAAAAGCAAATTATTTCTCTCGTTTCTTCTATGAATAAAGAAAACTATAAAGAAAATTAGAGCGATAAAGAGATTTGAAGTGGAAAAGAGAAAGAGAGAGCTTTTAGTTAAAAAGACTTTTATCTAAATGCATCTATGCGTAATTTTTCTCATTTGTCCTTGTAAACTGTGAAGGTCGTCAAGTCTTTTTCATATCCTTACCCGTTTCCTTCCTAATTAATTTTGATTTACATGATAAACATTAAACAATCAAATTAAATAATTAATTCTTTAATTTAATGACGGCAAAAGAATTCTTTAATTTTAATAATTATTCCGCTCGCTGGAAAAGTCATCCACCTGCTTTTACATCATCAAACCCTTTTTCTCTCTTTCTCTCTCTCTCTCTCTCTCCGATGTTGGGAAGAAGACAAGAGTCAAACACATTAAGCGATATCATTTGAAGTCGACAATCGAAGCATCCATGGCCGCTTCTCTTTCTTTCTCCAAACCCTAATTTCAACTTCCTTCAAAATTTCATTCCCTTTTTTCTCCCCTTTACAAATGGATCTCTCTGACGTTCGTAACAACGACGGCGCCGCCACCGCCGCTAGAGGAGGTTCTCGGCAACTAGTCGATGCTTCTCTCTCAATCGTCCCCAGATCTACGCCGTCAGAAGACGCCGCGCTGACCACAACCTCATCCGCCGCGGCGGCGACTACTTCCGGAGTTTTGACGAAGCGCTCGACGAAAGACCGTCACACGAAAGTCGACGGAAGAGGGCGGCGGATCAGGATGCCGGCTCTCTGCGCCGCTAGGGTTTTCCAGTTGACGAGAGAGCTCGGCCATAAATCCGACGGAGAAACCATCGAGTGGCTTCTCCAGCAAGCGGAGCCGGCGATTGTCGCTGCTACCGGAACTGGAACCATCCCGGCGAACTTCTCCTCTTTGAGTGTCTCTCTCCGGAACAGCGGATCGACTCTCTCTGCTCCGCCGTCGAAGTCGGTGCCTCTCTACGGCGCACTTGGATTGACTCAGCATCATCATCACTACGATGAACAAGGAGGACCCTTTGGTGCTCACACGACGCCGCTTTTAGGGTTTCATCACCATCTTCAACATCAACATCAACATCAGAACCAACGGTTAGATTCAGCTCCGGCGGAGACAATTCCAGGATCCGACGGTGAGAATTTCTCGAGGAAACGGTTTAGATCGGATGAGTTGTCAAAGGAAAACGATGATCGGAAACAGAACGAGAACAAGTCCTTGAAGGAATCCGAAACGCCGGCTGCTGGCGCGGCGGCTCCGATGTGGGCGACGAGTAGGTCTCCTGGTGGAAACACCTTTTGGATGCTTCCGGTACCAACCGCCGCCGGTAATCAGCCGGCATCTATGGAGAGCAGCAGCAACAACAACAACAACCGTGCTCATATGTGGCCGTTTGCGGCCGGAGGTGGAGCTGTAGCCGGAGCCGGAGGTGCTACTCATTTTATGGCGGGAACAGGGTTTAGTTTCCCGGTGGATCAATACAGAGGAAGTCCACTTCAACTAGGTTCGTTCTTAGCTCAGCCGCAGCAACCGAATCAGAGTCTAGGCTTAAGTATGCCGGACTCGAATCTTGGGATGCTAACCGCTTTGAACGCGTATTCCAGAGGTGGAAACGCAAACGCAGAGGCGGAACAAGTGAACAACAATGCTGCGGTGGAACATCGAGAGAAGAAGCAGCAGCAGCAGCCGCAACAACAGAGCGATCAT